TTTGGCCTAATACTTTTTTTTTCGAAATAGCCGTCCTATCCGGATAATAAAGAAACCGCTTATCCAAACTAAACAAGTTTGGTATCATATGAAAGAGGCCTGAAAAGGCTTTTAAACAGAAACAACGAATGAAGGTTACCACCTGTATTTATATTTTTTTATAACTTAATACTAAAGAAATTCATGTATGTAAATACATACCTGACCCAATGTTTGTTCTATGGTAATTAATTAACATTTTTTATTGAAATATTTTTCAATGTGTGGCTTTCTTCCTTTAGACGTTTCAGTTTTAAAGCTATTTAAGTCCGCTTTCATTGGATACCAAACTTGTTTAATTTGGATTAGCGGTTTGTTTACAATCCGGAAAGTACTTTTATTTCTGAATAAAAAATATTTGGTCAAGTTTAACTCGTAAAAAAATAACTGCAATTTTCGGTCTCTTCAATATTCTCATTCGCAAAAGATCCCCATTGATTTTTAGCTCCGCGGTTGCGAATGCGAATGCGAATATTCGCAACAACCCTGGTGTGTACATCACTTTTAGCCCTGATAGTTTCTGTGAAATTAATTAATCATTTATGACATCTCTTGTGCTCATATTTCATACAAAAAATCATTGCGCATTCTCATTTGACCAATCATTATTTTCTTATTTATTTATCGATTTCCTCCATTGGTAGCTTATTTTTTTCTAAAGGAAAAGGCTTTAACACAAAGGAAAACATTTACACAGAAACTGTTATTTTTTGACTTTTTTCCTTGTTAAAATTTGAACTTCTTGCATTTTTCCACAAAAAAATCTGGAATTATTAATTAATTTCTTAGAAACTGTCAGGGCTATCAAAAAGTGATATCTAGATGTCATCTACCTCGCCCTATACTTTATTATAGGAACTTTGCAAAGCAAAGGTTTTATGGTGTCGGTCACACAACATTGAAAGTTTCTGGATCCACAACATTGAAAGTTTCTGGATCCACAAAATTGAACGTTTCTGGAGCCACAACATTGCAAGTTGATAAATAATAATAATAATAATAATAGATTGGCGCTTCCACATATGTTACTGTTTGGTCGAGCTTCTCCTCCGATCTGTGGCGTGCGCCTTGATGTTGTCACACAAAGCGGAGGGACCTACAGTTTTACGCCGACTCCGAACGGCGATTGTATTGTTACGAGAAGGTGTTTTTCATGGCAGAAATACACTCGGAGGTTTGCCATTACCTGCCGAGGGACGACCGCTGTTAAGAAAAAACCTTTTTTCTATATTTTTTGCGATGTTGCTTTGACCAGGGTTTGAACACAGGTGCAGCGGAGTGGAAGCGCGCACTGCTTGTAATGGTAAGCGGACGACTGTGATAAAAGCGTTGTAAAATACAATTTGATTTTGTTTATGTGTTTTTTTATTTGTGTAAACATATTGTCGAAAATTAACTTAATTTCGCAAGCTCTTTCGGAGCTACTGAGCTCAGACTATTCTTCTAATTTTTCTTCGGGGTATGAATTTTCGTCACTAAAAAGAAATTCCTCATCGCCGTTTGGTCCTTCTGGCCCCATTCCTAGGTTTTGCTGAAGTGCCACGTTGGCGTTGAATTGTATTTCAGCACTGTAGTCACTGCCTTTTAAGTCGGCCTAAACGCACTGGCTCAAATTTCTTCTCTATTCACATATAGGAAAAAAAGGTTTTTTTGCTCATTTTTATATACAAATTAAATGCACTGCATTTTATTAATTGTTTCTTTAAATTCACCGACTTCTTCTATATTTTGCACCGCAGCTTACAATTAAGTAAAATTTTCTTTGATGTATGTATGTATGTATGTACATATGTATTTGAGCGTACAATCGATAGTTTCTTTTCGGTATGGTCAGCCGTTTTTTGCAGGATCGGTATTTGTGAGTATGAATCGAAATTAGATTTTTCTTAGACGTTCATGATTATAATATTTCAGAAAATTTTGAACTTATTTTTAAAAGATTCGTACCGTTGTAAAGGCGATTAAACCCCCCTTTCTTCTGATATGCATATACCTACTCGTGAAAGAAAATTTGAGACAAATATGCATATGACAAGAAAGGGAGTTAAATCAGCTTTACAACGATATAAATCTTTTAAAAATCAGTCCAAAATTATCTGAAATATTAAGTTTTTAATTTTTCGAAGATCTGACCTTTGACCCGTTATAGCACCTGTAATACAAGTTTTCACAAGAAAAGTTGTATACCATATAAATAAGCGAAAAAGGCGGACCACGTCTGTATTTTTACTTTTTTTGCTTTTTACATGCAATAATTAAAAATAATTTTTTACCAAAGGTCCAATTTCGAACTTCGAAGGCCCATATCCCGGTTTTGGAGGCTAACTTCGAAAAACGGAGAACTTACTTTTTTTACTTATGACCCAATCTCTTAAAAAAGTTGGTTTGGTCCAATACCCAGCCGAGTGCTGTAAGTGTTATTGTTAAAATTTCTAAAAAAATTTCACTAGTATTTAGTTTTTCACAGGATTTTTCAACGCATTTCACGTTGAATATTCTGTATCGAGGAAAGCATATTAAACAGGTAGCGGCAGTAGAGCAGCTGATTTTACTTTTGTCGTTGAACAGATCAAACACTCCACAGTCCGTTTTTTTATTGTCACCCGGGCGAACGGACTAAAATTCGGACTGTCCGGTCAAAAACCGGACACCTGGAAACCCTCTATATGAGGGATTCTATATGATAAACTCCAAATAAAAAGGCCACCACGAGAATCTTGTAAAAGAAAAGAAGTTCTCAAAAGACGGAATTAAAGTGGAACCCTTCTAAGGCACGCTTTACAATTTAGCTCGTTTCGGATGCAATTTACTGCATTGCGCTTTGCTGAAATCCGAGTCTGAAAACAATCCGTTGAATACCACTCGTGCTTCAAAAGCAGTCGGATATATTGGTCCTGTTTCCCTAGTGGGATGCAATAACACCATACGCAATAAGGCCATATGGTCTTATCTCCATTTTGTTTTCGAAATAAAACCATATGATGTGATTTGCAAACCAGAAGTGAAATAAAGTCATATTCAAAATTCTGCAAATGTGTAAGAAGTGATAATTCGAATTACAACGGTTCTAATTAAAAATGTATGTCTGGCCACACTAATTGTGGATACAATTTTTTCTATTAATTGACAGTGGCGTGTTTCTTTATTATTCAGCAGTGTTACGACTGAAAAACCTTCTTTCCTAGCAAGAGCTGGTTCAAAAACCTACCAAAGTGGCTTCTTTCCTACCATTGAAGAAAGCGGCGTTTGACGGCAGCAAAACATTTTTTTTTGGTAGTGTTTATACTTGAAATAAGATTTCCAGGTAAATAAAAAGATCAGAATAATAGCTAGTATATACATACATATATAAGTACATATTATACGTAGCACACAAAGTTGTGTGTGCTTTAAACCAGTAATACATCACTCATTTGCATACACATATCTATTATATATATATACGTATGTACATAAATAAGTAAGGTAGAAATAAATCTCACGGTTAGGCTTGCCCAATGTCCGGGTCTAGGAGCCGCCGAGCTGGGGCAAAAACCTGCGCCCTGCGGGTTTGCCATTATTGTCTTCTAGTTGCGGTTAAAAACTTTGAGATTCTCTGATATACTGGAAATATGTATGGCTAACAATAAGTTTTCTTTTTAATTTTCGTGTATAATAAAAAATAATATATCCTGTAAACACGTACATTTGTTATGTAGTATGCATTTGAATTTTTCTTTTAGTGCCATTTAAAATAGTTTAACAACCTTGCCATTGTTGAAACTATTATCGATTCGAAAAAATATCTGATTTATAAACTTGGCTTTACGTCCATCAATTCAATCACTTGATACCCCTTTAGATACCCAGTGGATACAACTTTTAATAGCGTATACGGAGTTCAGAGAATCGCCGAAGATAATTGGTGATATTCTGCCTATACCAGTAAGCAACGAGTTTTTTAAGGTATTTGGCAAATAGTT